CATAAAGGTTAGGAACCGTGAAATATCTGAGAAGTGCTGGAACCACTCTTCTCTACAAATTATGGCCCACTGCATGCTGCACAGTCTTAGTGGTTGAGGGGAAACGCCTTGGCAGTGCATAAAGGCTTCAGTGTGCAGCTGAAATGACCATGCGACTCCTGAAAATAAACAAGAATCAAATGGAGTGATTGATCGAATAAATTAACCCCAGCAGCAAGCAGCACGCACTCGGCCTCTTTTGCTCACTCACCACTCCCACCCCACCCCCCCACCCCCCACCTCTCTCCAACACACACAGCACAGAGACACATACACGGCTACTCATCAGCTCCAATGACCGGTCTGGTAGAAAAACAGACACTTGTTGCTGTTTGCTCCTGTGCTTGGGCCAGCTGCAATTTGGTTGTAAGTTTGTTCCACAGCAGGGTGGGCAGTGGGTGGGCAGTCCACGTACAGCGAGGTGTTGGTTGGTGAAGGATTTTTGGCCAGTGAGTAACTGCATGAGGGCATCGGCTGACTTGAACTGCCTGATCTGAACCGAAATTCTAAGAAATGCACCAAAAATATGTTTACAAGTTATAAGAAAAAGAAAGAATACAAAGTTTTTCTAAGCAATTCTGTTTTGGTGAAGGCACCACAACTCAACTCTGTTTTTGTTCAGGGTGTATTTTTTATATTGGAATAAAAAGCCACAGTATTCATCTCATCATCACTTTTTTGACCTATCGTGATTTTTAGTACTCACGACTCTGTTGTAGTTCTCCAAAGGTCTACAAGTCCCAGACATTCTGTTTACTTATGTTTGTAAGCACCCTAAAATAATATTTCGGGACATGTACGGTGATTTTTTGGTTTTTAGTGATATGATCGTTTCTGTAAATAATGTAAATTTGATTATAAATCACACAGTAACATATAATTAATGCACAATATCACCAAATAGCAATCCAATTTTTAAAAAATGTGATTGTTGTTTATGTTAAGTACATACAGATGCTGACTGATGTTATATTGTGCAGATATATGGTAAAGAGTACAAATACAATTTATTTTTCTGTAAGATTTCCTCTGTGATAACTTATTAGCTGTAGGTGATGCTTTTAACTGCCTATTGAAGTTTAGATTGGATCTGAAATATAAACCTCTCAATCTGATGAACCTGCTGGCCGGTCAGAGCCCTCATGAAATGAAGACTGAACCTCACACAAACACACACACGCACACACACAACCGGCTTGCCCAATCCCCCTTACCTGCCCCTCCCTGCTGCTCGGCTGTGTGGTTATAGTGAAATGTCCTCCATGCGCTATAGGATAGCCCTGGCCTCTGGGGTAACAAGATAGATGTAAACAACCAATTATTGGATAGGCCCTCATTCATATCCTCTTAACCAGTATCGACACAAAGGTTCTGGCTTTAATAATTTCTTCCTCTCGATAGAAAAAAATGACACTAATCAACGCAATGTTGTGCTCAGTGTGTACCTCAGCCTCTCAGAGCAAAAGTCCAATGCACGTCTGCCCCAACACATAGCATTTGCATCACATACAGCAACACACACATCTTGCAATAATCAGCTCAATTAGACAGGGTCGTGGTGGAGAGTGGCCGAGGTGAGCGGTGGGAGGTTGTGAAAATAGAAGCCTGGCTATTAGTAGAAATGTGATCTCCATTCATCAGTGGCTGTAATAATTACCGTTTCAGATCCAGGGCCCTCTGATCAAGCTGATCCATGGAAACATGCAGTTTACAAACACTGTCAGGGGAAAGACACTGGAGCCCTGTCACTGCCTGCTGCAGACACCCAGTTCTGATTATCCAAAACCCAATACAGTGAGGATACTTTGTTTGTTTGATACTTTGCTTGCTCCCCTCTAGTAAAGGTCTCATGCGTATTGTCTGCTGCAGTGTGGACCCAGGTTCCTGTTCATCGAAATCGTTAACTTTCCACATCCATTTGTTGTTCAGTTCGCATTTAGATATTGCAGGTTTACAGGCCCGCCAAGGATCAAGAGGAACGTTGCAGAGCCACATTGGATTTACATTTGGCTTTGAAAATAACAGGAATGGAAATATTACTCAAAAAACTCAACTTTTGCAACAAATTAATCTTCAATAGATTCACTCCATCCTGGATGAGGAGGCCCATGACAGGTGTCTCCACAGGGCCGGAGCCCTGTTTTCATTACAGCTACTATGCTTTAGACACACCTAAAAAAGTTTTAATGTGACTAAGAAAAGTAATTTAGAGATGCATGTCCTACAGCAGGCTGCAAAGTTGCACTCCTCATGTCTACAGGGAGAGAAAAAACTAATTTAACACTGAATATACTCCCAAGATATATCAACTAAAGACATCAAAGAAGAGACAAATACAGTAACTCATCTGTGTGATTCCTCAACAAGATCACATAGGGAGTATTTTCAATTTGTTGGTCAGGCGGATAAATTATTATGTTTTACAACATATACCTGAATGGCCTTTTGATTCACTTTGAAACGTAAAATTGATAGGAAACATAACTTCAGTGGAGAATACTGTGACCACTGTGAGTGTAATTGCAGCACCTCTTTCACCAGTGGGAGAGCCCTCAGTTTGTTTTGGACTCCTTTGCGACAGGCATTTGAATGTTTGCGTTAGATGGACAGAGATGATACATTTTATCTGAAAGCAGTTTAAAATTTCATCTCCATCCAACTCTGTTCAGAGGCGACCTTACTCCTCGTTAGACTCTTGTGCTGACTCTTTATTTAAGCAATCTCAACTAACCCCTCCTTTTTTTTTTTTTACAATGGATGTCATTATTATTATTATTATTATTATTATTATTATTATTATTATTATTATTATTATTATTATTATTATTATTATTATTATTATTATTATTATTATTGTTGTTGTTGTTGTTGTTGTTGTTATTATTATTATCATATCGTTGTTGTTGTTATCATGACAATTGAGACATTTTGGTTGCTGGAATACCTCTTTTTACCTCGTTCTGTATAAGGTTAAATCGCCTCCGTGATTTTTCTCACTATCCATTTCAGGCGACCCCCGCTCCCCAGACGATTGCCATCAGTCAGCCTAATTCCGTAATACTCTGAGAAGTGAGCTGCAGGCGAAACCCAAGTCAATTTATTAAACGGAGGGAGAACACAACGCGGAAACGGGGATCAAGCTCCCCTTACAGCACTCTTCATCACTGGTGATAAACTCATTTGGTAATTATAGTAATAATTTCTTTAAAGCAGCTGCGCCTTATGGACTAATCGGCTCCTCGCGCCAGGCCAGAACTAATCGAAAATTATTGATGTTCGATCCAGAGCAAAGTTGCTCCGTTTCATTCGTGAAACGAAATGTTTTTCATTACAGATTATTTTTGTTATATAAATTATTGCATTATTTATTAAACAAAAAAATATTTCTTTTTTTTTTACAGTTATTATTTACTTTTTGCTAAATTTGCAACGTCTTTTAAAACAGAAGCATTAAGGCCTGAAATCAAATAAGAATGTAATTATATCAAATGCCATTTGAGAGATCTTTCTCGAATATCTTAAAACTTTGAATCGTTTTAAGTGGCGGCAGGAGTTTCTCTTCTCTCTGAGTGGTGATCAACCTTTTGTTCTTCACGTGTAAATCTAATGTTTTAGAATAAACGATGGAGCTTCTGTAACAGGTCTGAGCGTGCGCGTGTTCGTGAGCGAGGCGTGGAGCAGCTGTGTGGAGTGATGTGATACTTTGCGGGGGTGGCCGGCTGACAATCCCCCCTCTAATGAAGAGCTCCCGCGGTCAGACCAGAGAAATCTATCAACTGGTCAATCTTTGGCCCGGTGGCACGCTCGCCAGTCCGCGTGGCACCCGGGTGTCCAGCTCCTCAGCAAGTGAGAGGTGTCGTGTTTTTGTGCTCATTTTAACAAGCATGCCAACTTTACACCACTTTGTCCCTAATTAGTTTTAAAACCTTCCCCCTGCATTCCACTCGCTCCCTCTTTCCTATAAGCTCTTCCTTTATTTCCCCCAATTGTGATTTCCACGTAAAATGAATCACTCGTGGCTCGGTCTCCTGAGCCTGCTTGTGACTTTGATCATCTCTGAGTCCCATTCTACCCAGCTGAGGTAAACAGTGCCCGCAGAGAAAGGCAAACAGAAGATTTGTCTCACCGGTGCGCTGGTTGGATGCCGGGCTTCCTCTCAGCTATGACTCGGCGGCCTCTCGGTCTACTTTCCCCGCTCTGCCCTGCAGAGTTTGCTCCACGCGCGGGCTGCTCTCTGCACGAGACAGGCTGCTCACCTCAGGATGGTTCGAGCGACGGTGGCTCTTTCCCACTCCCTCAGCCGTCATTTAGTTATAGTCACAATCTTAGCAATCACGTGCATGAGATCATTTATATTCATGACTGCACTTCAGATATAGCAAAGCCTTAATCATTTACTGATTTGTAGAATATTGATAATTGTATAAATGCATTCTATTCCATAAGCAATTTATGGAAAGCATAGAGCCCAATATGATAAAATATGAAGCTTTTCTAGGAGCATTAAAGTCCTATTTAAATATGGTTTATCAACTTCAAATATTTTCAACAACTTTGATATTAGTATTGCCTAAACTTAAAATTATTCTGCTTTAGATGATAATCCACATTAGTGATATACTTTAAGTAGCATCACACAAACTTGTGCTGGATGGAAATTTGAAAATATCCAAAGCTTCTTTCTAAAAAAAAAAACAAATCTAATCACTTTTGGTTTATTTTTTTCCATCGGTTCTGCTTCTACGCACCCACGGTTTGCCTTTCTGTGTTGCAGCGTTTGTTGACAATAATTGCTATTGTCTATGAGATAATGGGTATCTATTTAACTTTAACGTTCCCAACATTAGGGAGATCCTGACTGGTGTGTGCGCGCTGCTCGGGGCTCGGTGCGCTCTGGCGCCATCCCTCCCCGGGCTGCGGGAGCTCTGCCCCGCGCGCTCTTTGGCTGCCTCGGGTGTCCGTCAACGCGAAAGGGGAAGGAAAAAAAATGTTTCAGGGGAAAAATCTGGGCTATATTTCTATTAGTAGGCGGGCTCGTCGTGAAGGGAACAATTGGGTCGACTTTGCCAGGGAGCCACCTCAAAGCGTATCGGGTTACTTTGAGTGACAGCGTAACCATGGCAAATAATTTGACTAAGGCTATTGTCTTATCCTCACCATCCCGGGGTCAGATATCCGACCAATCAGAGTTCATATAATCGCTTGTCTTGCCAACTTAGAATAATATTATTAAAACGAGACAGCGAGCCTGGTCTCAGTGAGCAGTTCATGTTGAAACGGCATAGAAAAGGTGGAGGAGGACGGTGGAAGGAGTAGCAACTTTCTTTCTTTCTCAGTAACTTTATAAGGATTTGTCGCCCGAGGTTTTGCATGGCTGAATAGGTTTGATCGCAGCGCGCAGCTGGATATTGCCAAATCTTTAGCAGCTCTAAGTTTCAGCCTGCTCTTTTTGGGGGACCTTTTGACACTTATGGACTTAATGCTGTTTGATTTAACGAGAGACTGAGAGGAGAAACGTGGAAGTAAGGCACCTTGTAATCTGCCTTGGTTGACGCTATCGCCATGTCCATGCTTCCGACGTTTGGTTTTACGCAGGAGCAAGTGGCGTGTGTCTGCGAAGTCCTCCAGCAAGGGGGGAACATTGAGCGACTGGGGCGCTTCCTCTGGTCCCTCCCGGCGTGCGAGCACCTCCACAAGAACGAGAGCGTCCTCAAAGCGAAGGCTGTCGTCGCCTTTCACCGGGGCAACTTCCGAGAGCTCTACAAGATCCTGGAGAGCCACCAGTTTTCGCCGCACAACCACCCCAAGCTGCAGCAGCTGTGGCTCAAAGCGCACTACATCGAGGCGGAGAAGCTGAGAGGCCGTCCGCTGGGCGCCGTAGGGAAGTACCGAGTCCGGAGAAAGTTCCCCCTGCCCCGCTCCATCTGGGACGGAGAGGAGACGAGCTACTGCTTCAAAGAGAAGAGCCGGAGCGTCCTGCGGGAGTGGTACACCCACAACCCCTATCCATCCCCGCGGGAGAAAAGAGAGCTCGCCGAGGCCACGGGACTCACGACCACACAGGTCAGCAATTGGTTCAAAAACCGACGGCAACGGGATCGAGCAGCGGAGGCAAAGGAAAGGTAGGACTACTTCTCCACACGGACGCCAGACAAACTAAAGTCGCGTATACGCTCATTATCTTTAACAACCTCAAACGAGGCAAGTGGGGAGAGGATATATTTAAACAAAACCGTGCTGAGTCACAATCACTTGCTGTGCGCTTGTACAAAAATAATTTACTGACCTACATCTTACAATTTACACATATAATCTTGACATTGCCAATTTAAGTTTTTGTTCAGTATCCACAATTTTCTCCAAAGTTTTTAGGTGGCAAATCACAGAAAATGTTGCTCTTATTCAGGTTTAGATGCGAGTTCCCTTGTTTGGATGTGTGCTGGGCCCATTTAAAAGCTGAAAAGTTGCAAATGAAGTGTTCGTTGGCAGTGTGATAACAAGGTTCTAAATTCAGCATTCAGCCCACTTTTATGTTTTGGGGAACCTTGATTATTACATGAAATTTGACTTTCATATCAAGATCAGAATACTAGCCTGCTGTTTACACGACAGTGAGGGGAGAGTCGACATCCCAGAACACGTCTAAAAGCTGTTCTGCGGTGATACTGATGTGGCTGTCTGCTGTCTTAGTTGACATTTTATTAAAAGTCGTCTGTACTTTTCAAAGTGTGGAAATCACGCACACACGCGGGCAGTGGGGTGTTCCTGTCAGGTGTTCGCTCGGTCGGTGTCTTCTTTCACCCTCTGGCCACTAATTTGGGCTGAAAGCTTCGCGTAAATCATGTCGTTCTGCTGAGAAAAGCCTCATTGCACACGTATGCCACATGTAGCCCAAAACGCGCCCGTTTGGAAATCATTAGTCTTGTTATTCACAGACGTGAGGACATTGTTCGCTTTGAGCTTCTCCGCTGCTTAGTTTTATTTGCTCTGAACACAAATGCAGCTGAGCAGATTTATTGTCTCCTGACATTGTCTGTTCACCACCACCTCCGTGGACTGAGGTGCTTATTATTTCCGTGAACTACTAATTGTTTGCATCTTGGCACAGGTGCGCATTACTGACTATCCACTGACCAATCATGTATACATTGATGAGCTTCTTGGGGCTGCTGTAACTATGGCAAAACAAAATAAGCCAAGTGTGTGTCTTTTTAAAAATATGATAAATGATAATTGCCAATTTCCCAAAGTTTGGGACATTTCACAGGGGGGGTGCACAGTCAGGAAAATAGGCATGTGTCTTTTGTGATGGTTTCTTCTATTTGCATGCGTTTGTTTGCCTACAGCTTGCAAGTGATTTTGTTTTCTTTTCCCAGAGAAAACAACGAGAACTCCAACAGCAACAGTCACAACCCATTGACTTCTTCCATGAATGGAAATAAAACTCTATTGGGGAGCTCGGACGACGACAAAACCCCCTCGGGAACCCCGGATCACACGTCCCAGAGCCCGGCTCTGCTGCTGGGCTCGAACCCCGGCTTACCGTCCCTCCACGGGCTCGCGCCCCCGCCGGGACCCAGCGCCATCCCGGTGCCCGGCGGCGGAGAGCCGGTGCACCACCACCACCACCCCCTGCACCACGACACCATACTGAACCCTATGTCATCCAATCTAGTGGACCTCGGCTCTTAAAAAAAAAAGGAGAGATAAAGAGCAACTTTTTTTTTTTCTGTCTTTCCCGGAGAGTAAATTTACGAGGTGGCGTGAGCAAAAGCTTCAAGCACTTGCGGCAAGGTGCGCAGCAGACTGACCGGAACACCGCAACCAATCGTTTAGTTTCACCTTCAACTTTGATTTTTTTCCCCCCCAAACAAGTGGGTGAAAAAAAATCTGCTCGTGGATGCATTGCCTGTTTTTCTCCCCCAAAGTGAACGTCCACTTGCTTGAGGGTTTTTTTTTTTTTTTTCTTGCAACACGTGTCTTGTCGAGCAGAGCACTTAAGAACGTCCCTTAGATGATCAACAGGTAGCACATCCTCACGCCACTGGTATAAGGTTGCTTTAATTCGCTTGAAGAAAATATGATTGGGATAGAGAGAAAGAAAGGCAGACAACAGATAGTATCCTATACCGGAATGTAATAACGTGACATGTTATTTTGTTGAAAACAATAACAATAAAGTGTCTTAATTCTTGTTACTATCACCGCTGTTACTTTAGGAGGACAGGCTATCACCAGAATGTAGGCACTATGTTAAAGATACCCCCTGCTTTTATGTTTACATTTGGTGTTTTCCAAGAGAGCCATCAGCAGTCTTTTTCTGGTTGTTCTTTTTTCTTTTTCTTTTTTGTTTTTAAATGAGTTACTTCGTTTGCTCGTTTGGAGGAGGGCCTGGTGGATTATGTTTTTTTTTCCAAGTGTCTTACGAGAGCCGTAATAAGATGAAGTATCTTAATCTTGATATTGTTAGTATTTACATCTTCATTTGGAAAGAGACTGCATGTAAACTTTGCGATAAAGGATTAACCATAAAGCGACTCATCTATAGTTTCATATACCATTTACAATAAAAGAAAAAGACGTACAAGAATTAAATTCGACGATTTCTTTGATTCTCAATGACTGCTGGCGTTTTTGTTTTGAAAAAGAGAAGCAGCCTGTTGACATTTGCCGCCTCAAAATCTCTGAATGGATCATAAATAAACCCAAATATTCCTTCCATACTTGTTTAGGGCACCAACGGACAGAGAGCAGCGAAATTCTTTGGATTCTGATTGTTATGTGGGCATTTCTATTTTCAGTTTATTTGTTTTATATGTTTGGGGCGTTGGAACTTTTAGGGAAAACCCTTTATGGAATTTTAACTGCATGCTTAAATCCAGAATTACTTTTATTCTCAGTCCTTTTGAGAGTAACTTGAACCACTAGTCGATTGAAGGAAAAAAGTCGTTGGAATAATGTTTGATCAGATTACCTAAACAGCAACAATCTTTGTACTTTTACAAGTTTGTCTGCAGAGAAAATACATCACGGGGTCCATGTCTGCATAGTGAAATCAGAAATGCTGCAAAATAATGTCTAAATTAAGAAGGCTTTCCCCACTAACCTAACCTAATTAACCAACTAGTGATTGCAGCTCCGCGAACGATTGAAAAACTTTGAAAAACAAGGGCTGAGGAGCCTTAAAATGTGTGAAACGAACATTTGCAGTGCTGTGTATACAACGACTCTGACTGAAGGCTATTAAGCAAATTGATCGATTGAGTAGTTGGTTCCAGTTCGTCAGAGATCTAAAAACCTAAAAGCTCATGCACGTAATTTTTTGCAAATGCAAACAATTTTTAAAAACAGAGCTTGGAACAGGGAAAAGCTCTCACTCGATGTAGTACTTTGTAAAAACAACACAAGATAAGAGGCTGGCATGTGGCCTTTGCAGGCAGAGCTGGATGACACCTCATCTCTCCGCGCTCCGCTGAAAACGAAGAGCCGTAGAGTTTATCTGGGGAAGAAAAAAAATAAAGAAACGAGAAACTGGCGTTGAAAGAAGCCACTTTGTTTGAACACCTCCAGCTCCCCGTCACTCCGCCTGATGCCTGAACTGTTTGTGGAGAGCTGAGCTCCATCTTGCCTGCGTAACGGACCTTCATGGAAAGCCTCAGCACCTGAGCCCCTCAGACTATACGTCCCTAAATAATCAGCCTACAATGAGATATGTATATAAATGTAACTCTCAATAGATTTCTGTTGACATCCTCCAGCTGCTTTAGTCACGTTGCCCCCGGCCTCAGATCGTGCTGCCCACAGCTCGGTGCGTCTTAGTGAATCATTTTCTTTTACTACTCGAAACAACAGCAACGTATCCTGCCAATAAACGAAACGTCCCGCAGGCCCAGACGATTCTCATTACGAGTGCGAATATGCAAAGTGTGTGAACTGTCTCCTTTCAGGAGCGCGAAGGTCTGCAGATCCAAAATCAGAGGCTTTGTGAATGCTTTATAATTAACGAGGGTCTCTGTACGTGTGGGTCTATTACAAACAAGCCCATAACGGCCACTTGCGAGGAGACATAACACCGAGTGTTTGGCCCTTCACCAAACCAACCCTGTAACCCCGCACAGAGCTGTGATTTTCGTCTCCTCTTAGCCTACTTTCTCTCCCTCTTGTTCCCCATTAGGTTGAAATGTGAACTGGCATCATGAGTGTGCCATGTGTGCCCGAGAAAGTTGAGGCTGTTAAACGTTTTTTGGACAGGGAATGTTAGGAAAAATCCACCAGCAATGAAGAAAGGCCCTAACAAGGCGCCGTGGTTATAAACGCTGATTTGTTTCCGCAAAACTGGCTTATGGGAATAATGAGCCTCCAAAAAGCTGCAGGATAAACAGTTGGACAGGTGTGAACTTGATCCTGATTTCTTTGGCCTTTTTAAATCACAGAGTGAAGATGTTTTGGATGTTACACTCTACATCTTCCAAAACTTTGGTTAATTTTTTTTTCTTTTCTAGAAGTTCGTGTTTCTTGCATTGAAAACCATTCCAGACGGTACAGGCCTGAAAATAACTGTCAGGAATATTAAGCTGTTGTTGTCCAGATGAAGTCCAGTGCAGGGGGAGACAGTTCAAAACTGTCTTTAATCCAGTGTGTACAACATAATTTGCATGAAACGCTTTCTTTTGCATTTTGTTAGGGTTTATTTCAGTATTTGTCTATTTTATTAATTAAAAAAGTGGATGAAATATAGGTTAAGAAGAGACTTTTTGATAAACTTGATTTCAAAGTGCAGAACAGAACAACTTTATCTGAGCAAAGGGAGACAAAAAAGGGCTATTCGTGAGATTTAATACACCAGAGTCCTCTGGACAAATACAGTTTCAGGACAGATGTGTTTATTTACAAGCTGCAGTTTTTAGAAAAGCCTTTTACAAAGATGTAGTTCCAAAATTAAATTTTGTTGCAGAGTTTTATTTTAGAAACAATTCCTGATATAAAGAAAGCTTCACATTTAGAAAATATAACATTCCTTCGAGCTAAAAAAAAAAAAAGAAAAGAAAAGAAAAACCGCAAAATTTCTGGTTCTCTTTGAACATTTTCACACACTCTGTGTCTAAGTGATGTTAAACACTCCATAGAAATGTCAGGTACAGTGATGTTGGTTATAACGTGACACATTATTGGCCCCAATGGGGAAATTCTCCTTTCACTTAGATCTCCTTCAGGGAGGTCAGAGGTCAAACCTTTATAGCAGCATAGGAGCTGAAAGAGACTCACTTCGGCTGAACAGGGAGGCTTAAACACAGGCTTTCTGGGTCACAGACTGTTTGTCAAACTCCTGGTCATATTTAAAGAAGGTGAATTTTGCTCACAATTATGTCAGAGACAACCCACGAAAAGTGATCAAGCTCAAATTTCCAGACTTTGTCCTGGTGATTGAAGGTTTAGCAGCTGAAATCATGGTGCACCACATTGGGAATTGATCTTAGAGGGAATGATACGAGTGTGAATAGTTAGCAATACGTGCAACTTGTAGCTCAGAGAGGTCAGTTGCTGCGCTAACAAGTGAGTAAGGCAGCTGGGATCGACATTACCCAAACACTGCAAGAGCAAAATGAAGTCCGAGTCAGATGACGGTGAGGAATGTTATCTGGTTTCTTCAGGCATGCACAGTAACATTCAAAGGTGTGTATCACTTTATTTACACCAAACATAAGAGATGAAATGACGGACAGAAAACCATTAACATTTTATCATGCAGTCTGGCCTGAATTCACGCTCCAGTCCCTTTTGATCCAGAGCAACTGTCGTTTTCACCAGAACTGGATCTGAACTGAACCGTGTGCCAGATTCAGTCAGCAGTTAGCGAGGAAAACAAACTCCTTCAACTCCACCGGCTGTGGATTACAGCAGGTTGTTTATCAGCACCGATGAAACTGTCCTTTGCAATGGGAATAACATGTTTCACATCCAAATCCCTTTTCCAGAATCTGAGAGGATAGTTGAAAAGGTGAATTGATCCGGTGGAATAAAAGCCAACTAGTAAACATATTACATAATGACACAAAAAAATGTTTTTACATTTTTTTAGGCTATGTAAGGACACACAATGACAGTGTTGCTTAATTTTGATATTTTCATAAGAATTTATATAACTGCATCGACAAAGTTTTACACTAGTTGTAAACAATTTAATTTCATTCAGCCATTAATCAGAATTGACATTTTCTTATGAGTAAAAGTTTAAAAATTAGAAAAACAACTGGAAAAACATACACTTAGAATAACATTCTTTTAGCATTTAAACTGAAAAGCAGTTTCTTGCTGGTTAATTTTCACAATTCATAAATAATCACATAAAAAACTGGCAATGATTTAAAGCCAAAATAATACCCAAAAGATTTTACAAAGATTGAAAGTTCATTAGCAATTTTGATGGTTGTTTCACAGGAAAAGCAGCAAATCAATTTGAAATGGAGTCACTTATTAATATTTGGCTTATTAAGCCTTAAAACTTTTTTTTTGTGTTGATTTGCATTTTTCTTTTGTGTCAAAAACTGATTTTTTTCATTATTATCATTATTGATTAGCATGCTAATTTAATCTTCTCCCCATTCTTTGTGCATTTTTGGTGCATCAGGTGTGTCCCATAAAATGGGATGAAACTGTAGGGGGTCTGGGGAGCGAGGACGGGGAGATGAGGAGGAGGAGGAGGTGGGTGTGGGTACATGGTGTTGGGTTACGGTAAAAAAAAAAAAAAAAGGAGAGACAGAGATGGCCAGGGGAGTATGAGCATTAATGCACTCCCTGTGTGCTGGACGTGTACTGTTACAAAACACACACACTCACACACACACACAAGCGCACGGCAGGTGCCCTTTGCTTGAGTGAAAGGTCACCTGGCAGACCACGTTCTGACTTCCACCCCGAGACCTGAGACAAGGACACACAGATCAAGAAATAAAGTGCAGTGAAACATCTGCCTTCTTCTGCAACACAAATTAAAGCGGTAAAACAGTCAAGTCCGCTCTTTTGCATTCACAGACTGCGAATAAACTCTTTAAAATGCACCCTAAACTTGAAATTGTCACCTGTTCAAGTCTTTGCTTTTGATCACGATGTGCACACAATTCTAAAATCTCTTTTTCATAACACCCAAACTGTACTGGGCTGTGTGTGACTGTGTGTGTGCACCAGGGGTTAAGGGAAGGCTCACCTGGGCTTTTCCCTCTACTGTAAATTCCAAGATGGGAGACAGACACGGGCTATTCTGATCGCATTAGGTTCACTTGAATGGCTTTTCCAGCTATTGTCACCTGACACCATTCCATTAAATCTGTCCAGCAAAAAGATTAACTACTTCATTCTTTATGCTTTCACTGGGCGTTCACTTGTAGCACCAAAGGGCAGGTTAAATCATGCCGGATTTTCAGAGCATGCAGTAATTTACCTTAAGCCTGTCCAGTTTTCTTTTTTTTTTACTTGATGCTGTATCAGATAGAATAGTATCTCCCAGATTAAGAGTGCTCCAGCCACCTCTTTAGTGCCTCTTTACTGAGGTTGTCGTTGTCTGAACCAACATTTTGTTATCACTTCTCTCTATCAATCTTCCCAATATTTTTGTCGATAATCTTTTGGGGATGAAATCTGCTCTGGGGGATGGAGATATCCCCTGTTTACATTGAGTGGAAAAGAATATCCACAAAAAGGTTGGAGTTTTTAAAGGTACAAAGTGATGATAACCGTTGCACTTTACAGTTACAGTTACAGTTACAGTTGTTGCTTTGTATTAGTGAGAGAACATGTTTTTACAGACCTTTTTCATACTATAAAAAGTCAGCTTTTGTACTTGCGGCGTTATTGTTTTGCTTTCATCGGCTGATGCAAATTGATATTTATCTCAGGAGAGAAAACAATTCCCCAAAAGTGAGAAGTGTAAAATAATACTTGGTTCATTGGAAAAACTCTTTGTTGATTCAAGCTCAGTGACACCGACATCCTGCTCTGGGCTGCTCTGTTCCACGGAGGCAGCGGGAACTTCCTTCTAAATGCAATTGATCAGTATTATCGTTGTTGGTGCCCACATCACCGGCCTGTCAAAGTGTGTACTGTGAATGTTTGTCTTTTTCCAGCTGAACACATTAACAGGTTCAACCTGACAGACCGTTGATCTACATGCGTCCTTATGCTTTGATGTTGGAACTTCAGTGAAAAATGACTAGACTTAAATGATGACAAAAAACTGAAGCTTAATTTGCATGAAACTTATACTCTGTTCTGGATCCCCGAGTACGGACCACAGTTTCTTAACAGCAGTTTAATCATCTGAATGGCACATAATGTGGTTACACACTTTACTCCAATGCATCCCTTTGAATGAACTGTAAATCAATAAAACAAGCATAAAAGTCTTTGTGGCCCATAATTTGACCTGATGTGGGAACCGAAATAGCTTATTTGAAAAAAAGGAAAGATTTTACCCCACAAAAAAGTGCCAGTTACAAATGCAAATAAAGTTTATGGGAACATTATAATTGTTATTTTAATCTTTTGATCATTTATAAAGAGAACTTCAGGAAACCTCATCATTCTAGTCCCCTGCATTAAAGATTCACATTGTCACACTGTATTCACTCAAATTACAAATGTGAATATTTGTTCAAACAGTAACACACCATCAGATTAGAATTGATGAAACTTGATTTTTTATCCAATATCCACGGGGGAACCCTGAAGCCAATGCCCTGGGAAATCCTGAACACTGCTTCCACCTAGTGACTGAAAAGTGTACATGCATGCATGTTAAGAAAAGTAGAGACC